AGGACGATGGCGAAGTTGACCCCAGTGAAGATGGTGGTCTGAGTTAGTTGTCATGGGAACATGTGATTTAATAGCATTCATATAGCTCACCTCTGTGTACAGGTCTGTTAATGGGGACGTGTGTTCGTTTTCATTGAGATGTTGTCAGCACCCACGCGAAGTCCTATGATGGAGTGTGGTCAAGTCCCAATGTAAATATCATCCCTACAACAGTACACAAAGTGGATTTCATAGTGCCTTTATAATTACAAATATTTTTAAATCAGAAATAATAATTTGTAAAAACAGCTGGTACTACTAGTTACTAAGCACCTTGCTTTTGAACAAAACAATTGATGGCCTGACTCAACGCATAATATAACTTTTTAAGGTTTGAGTATTTTTATGGAAATTTGTAAAACATTTACCCCAGAAGACCCTTGTACTACATTTGATTCCAAAAAAGAATTTGTCATTTAGCTACAGAATAACGTTACCTATGAATCACTGTGTAGTCACACAAACCTTAGTGTGGATAGATATGATCAATTTCAAATCAACTATTTTGAATAGTACGACTATCATCACAGCAGTTTGATACGAAACGTAAGATGGTAAAACTCAAATCCCTGGGAAATCTGCGTAAGTCACACTGACTGAAGAAATTCATTTACTATAAAAGACATTTTGATTGATCCAATGGAATAAATTTGGCATACAAAGTTTGTGTTTATTTTCCATAAAAACACTTCGCACCTTTTTCAAAATAATTTTGAATTGGTAACTTGATTTTAAAACATAATCTTCTGAAAACCTCCTTGGATTGCCAAAATGAATGGGAAAAAAGCAGTGTCAGTAAGGGATGTATTAATAAATAGACCTCTGTGCAAAGTCATATGCAACTAATAAATGCTTTCAAGCAAATTACAGATCAACCATCTGTTAAAAAGCACAAGTGGTCAGTAAGCCAAATATCTATGGTATGTTAGTGTGTCTATACATTTATATTTTAAACATTTAAAAAAAATTAAATGTTATTTCCATGGTTATTAGGTGTTTTGGGAATATCTTTATTTTTCCAGTTATTTAAAGATTGATTTGAAAATTTGTCAAATGTTATTGTTCCTGTATCACTTTGACCAAATTATTAAATTCAGTTGATGTAATGTACTGGTAATATGGCCACCATAGCAGTAGGGCAAAATGTTTCATTTTCATTAAAATAAGTTTGAGATGCCCCTACCCCCTCCTCTTTTATTTTCTCTTATTTATATATTTAGTGAAATTGTTAGCTCAACAAAATTACAAGAATTTGTAGTCTGATTAGATTTTCCATATTTTTTTCATCCTTCAGTCATTTGGGTTTTCAAGAATTGATTATACGAGTCCTGTTTAGGAAATTTGTTTGTACATTGGCTTACCTCTGTGAAGTAAATATTGACATCGTAATATTCTAGTCTAAGCTGGCCAAGCTGTCAATTTTATTGTTTTATATGATAATTCCTTCTAAAAATGATCCGACACAAACTTTCAATTATTTATTATGTTATGGAAATTTTCCAAGAAAAGGAAGAAGATTTGCGCTAGGTTTCGCTAAGAATTCCATAAATGAGGGTTGCGTAGAAAATGTCAGATCAGAAGTTGCCTTCTCATTGGTTAGCAGCTTGTCAGTTGCGCTCCTCATTAGCATAAGCATCAACATACATTTCTTGGTGCTTTTTACATCAACGTTAGGAAAGCACAGTAGAATTGAGCAGGCAGAGGAATTTTACAAATTCCAGAAATTTTAAATAGAATTATTTTATAAAACAATAAAATTCTTACTACTTGTTCAGTTCTCCCTACCAATTTTCCACTACCACAGCTAATTTGCATATGATTGAAGTATTGTTTCTATTGTCTTGTTCATTTATCTTTTTCTTTTAAAATTGTTCCTAATTTTCTACCCAATTCTAACACCTTACAGTGAGACCAATCAGAGAGCAGCTTATTTGTAGACAGATTTTTTCAACCTATCAAATTCTGCGTTAGTATATATACTTTGTCTTTGATTATTATTATCCAAAACCAAGATGTATTCTTGAATACTATTGGCTAACATAGAGGATTTATAGTTTGTAGTATCCAATGAGCAAAGCCGTTATAAATACTGTAAAATACTTTATTTTCACTGGGAATTAATTTTCACTAAAGGAAAGATTCAGTGAAAATAAAATCCAGCGAATATACCATTTTTTCTTTATTTTACTTTCAACAAATTCTATACAAAACGCCCAAAAAGTCTTTTCAGCGAAAATTAATTCCAGCTAAAACAAAGTATTTGACAGTAGTCATTTTCATTCAAATAATTTGTTAACCAAACACAAACAAAAAACTCAAACTGAAAAAACTGGTGTCGTATGGCATGATAGCAAAGTGTAGAAGATACTTGGGTAATGTGTACGCAAGGAAAATACTCAAGATCATATGCAGTGCGCCCTCTAAGCCATTATGCTTTAGTAATCCACAGTGATTCTTTGTGATGCAAATTTTTTACAAAGTTTAAAAATAAAGAAAATCGGGTGTCACCACTTTTTACTTTTATGCCTTCAGAATCTCTAAAATACAATAATTATTTTTTTCTTGAATATCTTTCAAATGATTTAAAATTACTAAAAAAAAATCAATCTGGTTAAAGGGCCTTTGATCAGATGAAACTGAACAGAAAGTTCATTATATATGCATGTGAAGTGCAATGAATTATGGGAATATAAATGTTGGCAGGTTAATAAGCCTTTATTGTGATGCCTTCTCACATGTCTACCATGAAAAATGCATTATATATTCGAAATATATACTAAAATTGTATTTTTGTGAAATTTAGATTTCCTACACAGAAAGCTGAATATAATTTGTAATATCACACATTTGTATATATTGGAGATGCATATCAGTTGAATAAATGTCTTAACTGTTAATTTGTTACAGCAGTAGAACTTGAATTCTTCATACAGTATGTGTTCTGTTACCAAACGTTTGCTCTTTTATATGTGACAATTGTCTATGGTCAAAACTAGTAAAATTTTAATGATTTAAGTTACAAAGTAACAATAAATGCAGTTTTTGGTGTTACGTTACTTCCGCTTCTATTTCACATATGCTTTTAATAGAGCAAATATGATATCTGTTTATTTTATTGTTGGTATATATATCGTTTCAATTATCACTCCAGTCATTTCACATAGGAACCAAAAAAAAAGAACATGTTACTCATCATTGGGTATCAAAAATGCAATTTTCATTAAAACTAAATCCATAATTAAATTTTAGAAATACAAATTGATCAGAAACTTAATATATCATTTTTCTGGGCTTTTTTTTTTTTTTAAACAACATTTAATTTATTTATTAACGTATTAGAAACATCTGTAGTTTAAACCTCACCATGGTTACTATAGTAACAGAAATAGATTATATTTTATTTGGGGCTTAGGGGAAAAAAAATGTGTGTTTTTAAAGTGGCCGTTATGTTTTTCAGGTTTTATGTAAATAATGTATTTTACACACGTTCTATGGTACCTATATCAGACAACACAGCGAGGTGAGAAATCAGTTTATGTGTACAAATCACATTTACTTTTATGGTGACATTTTGGTCATTTTTCAAGATTAGGTTTTACTGTGTATATAGAATGGTTTTACTTATACATTGTGTCAATATATATATTACATAATTTTGGCAATTCATGGAAACGGCTGTTTTCAAATGGCATCAGCTTGTAAATTTCTAGTTACTGTATTCCTATATTTGAGGTGTATCGCAAATAGATTGTTTTTAGTTTTGTTGTAATTTTAACTCTTTGAGTACAAAAAGTCAGTTTTTGTCACCACAATTTTAAACTGAATAAGTTTTTATAATTTATTTCAAAATTTTGATAAAACCATGTAGCCAATAAAAAATTACGTCTATTTGGTCCAAAATTATCAAAAAAAAATGTAAAAAAATTCATAAAAACAGACCAAATGTTGAATCAAAATTTTGGCGGGAAAAATTATGGTGCTCAATGGGTTAGGTCTTATTGTTGGTCTTTTGCATATGTGCTTCCAACACATCCAAGTCTTTCAATTTGCTCAAAAACTGCCTGTACTGTCTTGTAGTCAGTTTTTAAAAAAGAATTTTGTATCACTTGTAGTTACTTAAATATAGTCTTATATGGCTTGTCAGATTCTCAGCAAAAATGCAGTGTATGTCTGTTGTATACTTTATACCATTTCATTGCAAGGAATTTTATTTTATTCAGTTCACGTTTTTTTGTTGTCGTGTATATCCACAGTCCCTCTATCACGGGACTGTGGTATATCTAACTTTTTAGATGGCATTGCATTGTAAGCATGGTTTCCATGGTAATAAAATTTGTATGTTGCATGCTGGGGAACTATGCATGACAGCATCATGGCTTCCAACATGGACTATTTCTTGTAATTTTATAAACACCATGTTACAATATCATTCACAATATTTTTAATACCTGATATTTGTTTTACCGGGTTTATATATGGTATTTATTACCTTGGGGGGGGGGGGGGAGGGAATTAATTATTATATAATGCAAATGATGCAATTGCATATTTTTCTTGCACTAGTTAGGATTGATTAGCAAGTTCAGATCTGTATGTCTGACAGTGCCATCTAGTGGTAGGACTTTTAAAACTAGCAGCATGTCGGCTGATATAGCTCTGCTGTTTAAGATGCGAGTGGAATAGCTGTTTTTATGATAACAATAGTCTTCAGGAAATTGAAGTTATCATTACTAAATGAATTAATTTGCCAGATGGAGGTTCATCCTAGGTACCCAGGTTAGCTGTTTTCAGGAAGTTGAAAATAGCATTGTTTACTTAAAAATTACCAAAATATTTACTAAGATTGGAAGTTACCACAACATGAACAGAGGTCCTAGCTATTTCCAATAACTATTTGAAAATAGAATTTTAAACAAAATTTTAAAAATAATATCAATATATATTAAAAGTTTTCTTAAAATGAACAAAACGGAGAGAATCACTCAAGCTACATTTGTAGTGAATATGAAACCCATACGGCTGATTTAAAAAAAAAAAAAAATTTGAAGTTGACACTAATGGACAATCAGTAATATGAATAGACCAAGACAGATGAATGGTAAATTGTTATTAAAAATATTTCTGATATTTTTTTATCTATTCAGTGACAGTAAATGCAAGCTTTGACCATGTTTCATATATGAATAGGTGATTTCCATTCACTGCGAGAAAGCACGAAAGACACATTTTAATCGTTGGCCGCAAAAAAACAAATGATTTGATTTTGAGCTACTCTTTTTTCATAGTTCAATTTTGAAATGTTTATCTTAAAGAGGAGGAATATGGCATTGAAATACCCTAACAATATTAAGAGTGCAAATACTTGTTTTTATTTGCAGAATTCCACAAATATTCATTGGAGTATGAGACATCACATACAAAATTGGAGACCGTTGCCTTCATCTTGTTAACTTTGTATATTGTATTTGTTGTGTGTCAATATCTCATTATAACACCCTCCCTCAAAACAAACCAATCCTGAATACAAATAATTTCAGCCAAATATCTGCATAACTTGAGACCATTCATTAGAATCCCAATACCCATTTTCCTGCACATTTGGTGGGTTTTTTTTCCAGTCCCATTCCATGACCCTCGTATTCCAGTCTTTCCCGTAGTTTGCCTCTATATATGCTTGACTTTGGCACGGCACTCGTACTTTCATCCCCAGAAACTCCGTCCAACAGAGTGTGAATCGAGGAAATACGTACCTAGGAAATATGAATGATATGAAGATGATAAATCAGCTTTGTAAAAAATGTTATGGAGGTGTCGCTATTCAAATTCAATATGCCGCTAACTGACTACGTGCAAGTGCCGTACTGTATATAAGGAAATACAGAAAGCCTGCTCATAAAGAAAGAATAACAAGTCACTGTTACACGTAAATTTTTGATGAGTTGAATGTCAGAATCAGAATTGGGGTTCAAGGCTGAATAATACACAACTAAATAAAAAATAATGGCTGCAGTGGAAGCCCAGGTGCAAATCTGAAGTTAGACCACCAATAATAATAATAATAGACTTCTGCTGTATAGAATAAGATATAAAAATTATTTTATTTCATAAAAAATATTCTGGTAGAACATTTGGACAAATGATTGGTTGGTAAATTATGGCCTAACATGATCATTGGGAGTTACAGCGCCCTCGCTGATTTATTCACTTCCACATGAGCTGAGTGAATCTGTCAAAAAGAGCACAGTACCTCATTTAAACTGAGCTAGGTTACTTCTGTTTGATTTGACAGGATATGTTAATTATTATAAACATGGCAAACATTCTATCATAAATATGAAGGCTGCTTGTTTATTTGAAGTCATGATTACCGGTATGAGGCAGATAGCTCCCATATAACTTTTAAAGTTTTAGAATTTAAAGTATAAATAATAGCATGTATAGATATTGAAATTGTCAGGAATTTTGCAAGTCGTCGAAAATTATGAAATTTTGACGAAGTGAAAATTTCTCTGAGGGTCGAATGACATGTCAGCAAAATTCATTAAATTTTGTCTTTACAAATGCCAGAAAATCATCAAATCACATTCCTAGTAGCAAACATTTAGCGGTTTAGAATATATGCAATTTATTTGTTTATAATCACTGATAAACAATGGTGAAAAAGTATTTTCATTCATTTTCATTTTGTGTCCCCGCTATTTTAGTACACTTTCAAACAAAAATTATTGAATGAATGAAGTGTAATATAATCATTCCATGGAATGAGAGTACCCAATGATATATTCTAGTACAGTATAATGCAAACAGCGCCCCCTTGAGGTAATATTTAAAAACATGCACGATGAGCACTTACTTGAATTTTTTTGCTGATTTCACTTGTGTTCCACCATTCCACATAGTGTTACCTTCTTCATAGAAGAAAAAAATATCAAGTTTGATATCATCTGCCAAGAAAGATAACTCAAAACTGTCTTCTCTCTGAATAAGAAACATTAGAACTTACTTATTATTAAAAATATATAATGTTTTACAAATATGACTTTTTTTCTAAGATTTTGATCAATTATTTCCATTTGGCTCAAAATAATTGTGAAATTGTTGAAAAAATCATTAAAGTGTGCAAAATGTTGACGGGGTAAAATTATGCCATTCAAAGAATTAAGGTACTGTAAGGTACTCAATTTCATAAGAGACATATTTCTGTCAGGGGAAGTCGCAAAATTGTGTTGCAGTGAACATTTCATTTGGACTCTCCAAGATAGCCGGTCACAGTCACAGGGTCTTAGGAAATCAGAGTGACTTTCATTTGGGTCCTAGGGAGTCACAGTCACTTTCATTGGGGTTCTAAGGAGTCACAGAGACTTTTATTGGGGTCCTAGTACCTAAGTCACAGCGACTTCCATTGAAGTTCTGGTGAGTCACATGGACCTTTGCAGGATTCGTCTTCATGAATCTTCTCAAATTGCAAAAATTATTAGTGGCAAAAGTAAAATGGTTTACAGTACATAATATACAAACATTTTCAAATGGTGACAAGCATTTTGAAGAGATTATCAGACAGTTTTGTGAAGTGTAATATACCGGTAAGTGTTAATAGTTTTGTTTTTCATCACATGGCCATGGTACACAAAAAAAAATATTTAGAGTCAAAGATTTTATTATTAGTTATTCATATTAAACGTCATCATTTGGTGTATGTTAGAACAGCAAAAACATATTTAACACTTTGCTAAGAAAGGTAATAATTGAGACAATTATCTAAAACCATCAGCGGTTGTAACTGGCAGGGATTTCATCTTAAATAACACAAGGGTTAAGATCATTACAAATCAGCCAATATTTATTTCGCAGACACTCAGATTTTGTTCGAAGTTAGTACAAGACACAGTGGCACATGGATAGACATTATTTCACTTAAAGCAGGAATTGAGTCCCAAGCGACGATAACAACACACGCTAAAAATGCAAAGGCTCATGGGTAGACACTTGTTTGTAAACAATGACACGCTATGGCCATCTGACACATGCACAGGTGACAACACCCCCACTTTAATCAGATCTTCGTGTCTCTTTGTTCCCAAAAATGTATAATCAACAGTAGCTCAGAAGACATGACGAGGCTGCTGGCCATCAAACACAATACATAGTGACCGATTGATAATAACAATGTACCAGTAGTTTGTACTTTTCTATGTTCAATGCCATGTTTGACTCGCAGGTCAGTTGGTAACAGTAATGTCAATGAGGAAATAAATTCAATCTGTTTTACCTTGCCAAAAATATGTTTTAAATGTAATCCACTCATCTGTAATGCTGGTATTAATCGTACATCGTAATCTTTTATCCATATACCGATATCAACATCTTTGCTGTGACTGATGGTGTTGCATTCTCGAAACCAACCTACAAATAAAGAAACCATCTTTCAATAAAAACAAACTGTTAACAGAAACAAAAACAAAAGTTTATTTCCTAGATACAGGATTTAGAGTATTTGCATACTGGTCTTCTGCTAACCCATTGCATTGATTTGAGTTGTGTCATTATCACCTCATGATTATGTACGAGGTGATTGGATTTGGACAAATGAATGCAAGGTATCTAACACTAGAAGACCTGTGATTCTGCTGCGAAAATGAATAAACTGGCTTAAATAGTGAATCGAGATCACACGACAGTGAGCACTGTCAATAGATTCTGCAATACGCCTAGACATGAATACTGCCACCTTAAGGTAGTACAGTAATTATTTTGTTTTTATACATATTTATTAAAAAGACAATTGTACACCCTTAAAGATACAATATGGACAAGAACATGTAACTTTTAGTATTGTCATTCGATATTAATAATTACATTGAACTATGTCATGACCTGAAAACGGTGTTCTTGTAGCATACATCAGGGTATTCATTTGATGAAATAATTAAATTCTCTAAATACGCATTGCATCAGCTATTTTTGTACATACAATAACAAACACAGCACATGCATAGCAGCGGTTTTGATTTCTCATCTAATGAACATTGTTGTGTGTCCTGCAAATACAACGCTATCGGTAGTTTATTTTATTTCGATAAATCATAATTCGATTTGTTCTACACTATAGAATATCAAACAGCAATATTATGTTTTTGTTGATATCGTGTCTTTAAAATAGTCACAAGTTATCAAACAAACTTACCAAGGCAAGTTCCACTACTCAACCAAAACTGAATTCCAATCTGGTCCAGCAACTCTTTTGCCTTGGAAAGTAAATTCTTGGCTTTGACTCTAAAATGTACAGCATCAGCGCTGTTATCGTCCCCGTTTTTATCCAAGAATTCTTTGGCCCTTGCGTAGTTACATTCTATAAATTGTGAATGCGGAACTTGTTCCAGAAATAAGGTTGGATATCTTGGAACATTTATCTTCAATCCGTCAGCTTTGAATTGCATAATTTCCATTCTGAAAGTGGGGAAAAGAAGTTACAGTATGAACCATCAAAATTCTGAAAATATATCTAAAACTATCACCTTCAGTGAATAGGAGAAAAATCAACTTAAGAAACATTTTAGAAAAGAGGCTTATAACAGTCAAAACAGTTACATAACAGTAGTTTCTTTTCTATTATGTAAAATTGGTCCTCGTTTCATATGAGAATATATTTCCAAGGTTACGGTATGAGAAAAACAAATTAAAGGGGCATTGGCTGTATTTGTGTATGCACAAATTAGTACATATTTTTTTAATCCATGAAATTCAGAGCCAAAATAACCTTTTGTTGTACAAAAAAGGGGAAACAAATGATGATATGTCCTGCAGCAAGGTGAATAGTTTATACAATAGCATGAAAACCACCCGGAAAATAATTTTCAACCCAGAATTTATTTTCCAACTATTAATGTAGAGCATCCAATGTAGAGCACCCTGTGTGTGTTCATAATGGTAATTTTTGTCTCTGTAGTAATGTTGTACACTTGGTAGCATTCATGGAGCTCTATTGGGTTCTTAGGACTTTTATGTTGATTTATTTGATGCTTCGATTCATGTACCGTAATTCAGAACAGAAGTGAATTTTTGTGAATCCATGTGCATTTGAACATTATTCAAAAGTGTTCAAAAGAAAGAAATTTCAATATACATGTGTACAATCAAATGGGAAGCCAATTTGATTGCCAGCATTCAACATTAAAATTTGAATGTACCAGTATATATTACCCACAATTCAAAGCATCAAATATTTCACATAGTAATCCCAAGATTCTATGAAGGTCTATGAATGCTCATTAGACTCATTATTAAGATTTTTAAATATTTCAATTAGTGGTCAGTTCTGCTTTTATTTTCCTTACATGTAAAGTAAAATCGTCCGATTTGCACTATTTCTCTAGGGCTAGCCATTCATGGCCATCCCTACATCCCTGTGTGTGATTGTGTTGGGAAAAGCTGTATTTGAGATCACTTAAATTAAATGATTTGATTGGGTGTGCCAATGAGCTGAATCTATCAATTGGCATTTCTGTAACTAGAACTCGCATCAATTTCAAATTTAAAGCCATTGATTTTGCCATCATATCACGTCATATCTTAACTGACAAAACACACAACCTGCGTTCAATTTCCCACTTGACTTTGTGTTCCATTTACAAAGGAAACACAACACAGTATGCACTATTGTGTTTGATTTCATTGACAGTGATTCAGTCTAATAGTGGAAATTATGCCAAGGTATAATGAAAAAGTGGCGACAGAATAAATGAACCTTGGCTGGCAAAGAAAAAGTCATACAATTCAAAAGCCCAGTGCCATGCAATGCAAGATTCAGTTTTTGGTCACCTTCCATATATTCCCAGTTGAATATGCCCTCTAGAGGTCAAACACATACATACTCTTGTTTTCAAGTCAAATATGTCTAAAACGAAAATTCTCTGGAGCAGCATTATAAATAAATAGTAATTTCTTACTTGTCATAAGCACCAGCATGTTGACCAATCAAAACCGCTGATAGATTAAGTCCTATTGTTTCAATATGTGAATCAAACGTATCCTGCAGTGTAATTGGTCCATGCCACCAGTAATTGTCATTTCTCTCAAAGAATATGACTAAATGTATAACATGATGACTATTAATGAATAAATAATGCAGAGACACGTCTATTGCATTCATACTCGGTACTGATAGCAAGCGTGGATCTTGCCCTGTTGTATGTGTCCATGTAAAGCCGTTCTTTTTGAGTGTGACTAAAAATTGAGTCTGAAAATGAGAATAAAATAAATCCGTCAATTTTTTTTGTGTTCCAAATCTTCTCCATCTTCATAAGATAAGCGTATGCAAGTTAGATATCTATGTACCATGATAGGCAAAGAATATCTAAGGTAACATGAATACTGCCATCTTATGGTGATACAAAAATTACTTTGTTTTTATACTTAAAAAACAATTGTATATCCTTGAAGATGGATGAGAATATGTTATTTTTAGTATTGTTGTTTGACAGCACTGGACTATGATTATTATATTTCGTTATCTGAACTGTTTTATTTTCTTGTGATTTGATCATTTTGAGCATTTGAACAGGTCAGCAGACAATGTGTTAAAGGACCTTTGTTTCTTTGCGCTTGTCTGAGTCTGAAGGGCTGAATCCGAGGCTCAGTATAAGGATTAGTTAGTACAGCAAAATTATGACAGAGGTGGTTCATCTGTTGACAACCATCGCCATTTCAGTCATTCTTTGAATGCTAATGTTTCTATAAATGTAGCTACACTGCAGTAAGTTATTATCAACATTGCTGGTAAATGTACAGCAATTGCTCTGAATGTTTATTGAAGTTGTTTTGCTACAATAAAAGTTATTTTGATACATTCATGATGCACCAAGATTTCATGTCACCAATATCGAACCACGCACTGAATGACCATGTGTGAAGACAGCGTATGTTGTCAGTAAGCTTCAAACATTCCAAGGGACCGCCGTGGCACCACGTTCATATATCACCAGTTAATGTGAATTTATCGCATGTATTATATGCAGGGATTGTACTAAATGATGCACAACAGAGGTCATTGTAATCCCATATTGCCTGTTTTTGTTTGTTGTTGCCATTTTCCTTTGCATTGCATTGTGTAAAACAAAAATATCACACAACAATTAAGTTACACATACATTACCTGGGGATTCCAATGGTTGTGTAGTATAGCGAAAGTGGTGACCAGTCTGCTATGACAGAGGTATTTACACTTGCCAACTGTCTTCGTACCAGACTTCTGGTAGTTCACAATGGTTTGTAAGATACTGGGGTCAATTAAAAACACTGGAACATTATGGGCAGCGGTGATATTTACAAATAATTTTATAACGTTCTGTAAAATAGAAAGCAATTGAAAATACATGTACTTGTTATTTCTCAGCTCCTGAGAGCGAGGTTATTTGTAGATATGTTGATGATCGCTGCTGTGTCTGTGGAAGTACTATGGGAGATTGCATGATGGGAGTGAAAAGTCTTTTGACTCCTCAGCTCCTGAGAGCGAGGTTATTTGTAGATATGTTGGCGATCGATGCTGTGTCTGTGGAAGTACTGTGGGAGATTGCATGATGGGAGTGAAAAGTCTTTTGACTCCTCAGCTCCTGAGAGCGAGGTTATTTGTAGATATGTTGGCGATCGCTGCTGTGTCTGTGGAAGTACTATGGGAGATTGCATGATGGGAGTGAAAAGTCTTTTGACTCCTCAGCTCCTGAGAGCGAGGTTATTTGTAGATATGTTGGCGATCGCTGCTGTGTCTGTGGAAGTACTGTGGGAGATTGCATGATGGGAGTGAAAAGTCTTTTGACTCCTCAGCTCCTGAGAGCGAGGTTATTTGTAGATATGTTGGCGATCGCCGCTGTGTCTGCGAAAGTACTATGGGAGATTGCATGATGGGAGTGAAAAGTCTTTTGATCAGTAAGATAATTTTAGAAAAGTGAAGACTAGAGTGACTGTGAAATAAAGGTTGGTTTTAAATATAAAATATCATGGAATCTGGATGAAATAATGAAAGGAAATTGAACGGGTATGAAAGGGCAGTAAACTTGGCAAAAATGCAAGGTCTGGGGGTCAAAATACATCACAATACATCCATCATCATCCATCGGCTGTCAATAACTATGGATGCTTCAGTAACAGTATTTGCTGCTTTTTTGTGCAATGGAAATTAATTCAAGAAATGCTGTCAAAGGACATTTCCTTCTATTAAACAAAACAACCCTGGGATGTTTATCTTGAGAAATTGAGAAGACGAAAATCTCTTGGGACAGTCGTTGTTGTGAAACAATTGACATACTTCCCTAGGGTATCCAGCCTACCCGTAGTTTTGATTATTAGAAGAGGGAAACTGCTGCTTTATGGAAGAGCAAATTTCAATGTCATTGGCCACAGTAATTCTAAATCGATGTTAGTTTTAATTGGTGTTACCTGGTGTAGAAGTAATAACATTACGATGTTTTGGAGTTTAATAGTAAATTATTAATGTTAAGAAATTAATAGTAAATGGTAGACTCCCTTTTGAACAACACCAACCAGTCGAACCTGGTTGACAATAATGAAATTCTAACAGCAAGGCAATTAGGACAAATTAATAAAAATATACAAACATCATTTATATGAACTTGGAAAAGTGAATTACAAAACGACAATCAATCAAAACAAAATGAAATATAAATAAATTAAGAACATACAGAGAATTAAAAAAAAAAACAATTTTGCTTTTGAAACCTACCTTGTTACCCTGTAAAATAATGAGATGTGCGAAAATTTAAATAATTCCGCCTCAGTGACCATAACTTGAAAACTGAGACTGACAGACACAACGGAATACCCCCTTGCTAATAGATTATGTAACCTTTGTGATCAGAATCAAGTAGAAGATGAGTACCACCTAATGATGTCATGCAAAACTTATACCCCCGATAGATATGTCTTATTTGAAATGGCAAAAAAAAAAATTTGGCACCAAAGACACAATTCATAGTCTTGCTAAACAACAGTGGGGTAAAACTCCCTGTAGCAAGGTACCTAAAGAAGTGTTTTTAAATAAGTCAGCAATCCCAGTGTCAATTTTCTTTCCCAGTTAAGTTTTGCATTTTTTCTATCTTTTTATTGTATAATAATTGAGTCTTAATATTTTCTTTCTCTGTTACAGTAATGTATTAGCTTAGTGTTTTGTATATTTTTATTTTATTTTAATTTTTGTTAACCTTTTATTCTTTCTTAAACATTTGTAGCCATTGCCAATCCCTCTGTGGTAATGTGTTAATAAAATTAATATTATTTAATTAATGACCTGCACATTAGTGATTGGCCTTGGATAGTTGAAGAGATTTTTAAATGGCCTACTCGATAGAAGTATTCGCCATGACTCAAGCAAGACTTTTCATTCGGGTTTATACAACGCTTACATGTTACTGTCAGGAAGGTTTAATGTCTTGTTTGTATTTGCACAATGTGAAAGAGAGGTTTATTGTCAAAATGTACTAGTATATGGGTAGTTGTATGCATATTGAACTATACAAAATTTGAATTATGTCACCAAACTGTACGTTTTGACGACTCGTATGCAATTGTAAGATTATATTTCTGATATACTCGAAGTGAATCTCAGCACTGTGCTTTTTATAAATATTATGGTTCGGTTAATAATTTCCTGGAAACTGTGCAGAAAATCACAGACTTTCATTATTTTTTGTTCGTAGTTTTTCTAAATTTCAGTTATGAAACCATTTCCAGTTATTATGATTGTGTACATGACAGCTTTGCCCCACACAATAAGACATGTATGAATATGTGCTAGTATGTTTCATGGGTTAATAGGCCACTTCTTTATATCCCAAAATGTCTGGTAATTCTAACTAACTTGCTTCTACTCCCATATTGTCCTTAATAGTGAAGGTTACAGATATATTGTGAATTACACAGAGGTAACATTACAATACATTTCCCTTTACATTCCCTGGTATTACACAACAGCCTTTGTGCTGAGGCAGTTATGGTTCACAACCATCACCAGTTCTCTTGTCATATTTGTATACATGTATTATGCGATGAATCATGATAAAAAAAATGATTCTGTCATTGAGCGTAATATAAGACAAGTCGAAAAGATAACTCACGTTAGGTGAAGCCATAGACTTTTCATGGTGTCTTATTTCTGCCGTCAACTCTGTGTGATCCTGTGCTCAAACAAATAAAGAACATATAAGTAAATGGCTTTATACTGGGCATTAAATGTCTGTAGAGTCACTGAATGTCATGCAGGGTTTTTTTTTCTGTCCAACTATCCAAGACAATCATACCATGAATTCAAACATGAAGTTATTTCCTACAAAGATTGGACTTTTGATTTGTTTCTTGTATAGCCATAATGTCTGTGTTAACAGAAATGAACAAGATTATTGTTGTATTCAGAATTGAAAAAAAAATGCACATAACACATAGATTGCGCACAAACAAGAGTACCAGAAAAGACAACCAGAGATGAAACTAATCTGTTCTTTCAGAGTTGCTCATTCACGTTATTACCGACACAGCAAACCAATTTTTAGAAATATTTCCCAATACAAACTGTGACTGGAACAGATGTTTTTATTGGCTGATGGACATATTTTTGCATGACTTTGTATAAATATTTATAAAAATGAAGGGAATGGATTTGTTGTGTTGATAGTACTATTACTAGGAATGTTGTTGCAATTCATAATCATTTTGCATTTTGCATGACTTTGTATAAATATTTATAAAAATGAAGGGTATGGATTTGTTGTGTTGATAGTACTATTACTTGGAATGTTGTTGCAATTCGTAATCATTTTGCGTGACTTTGTATAAATATTTATAAAAATGAAGGGAATGGATTTGTTGTATTGATGGTACTATTACTAGGAATGTCCTTGCAATTCGTAATCATTTTGCATTTTGTGTGACTTTGTATTTAGATCTTCATTGCACATATGACACCATTGATGTGCCTTCATTTTATTGATCCTTGTTGTTACATATTCTATTTTATAAATTTGTTACTTTTATTGTTTTTTAAAATAGATCATTTCCTTGTCTCCTGTTGGAGAATAGGGCCAGCGAATAAATAGATAGATAAACTTCACTGAATTATAATCCGGTGTATACTTACACGACCATTGGACCGATTGTGAAAACTTAAAAAGTATATCTGCAAAAACATGAATATGACACTTATTGCTAGGAGAGATGATAGTACTACCGCCCTCTTCATTTTCTATTCACTGATCACCAGAGATGCACCAGACTGCAATCTTCACACATGTCCATTTTTTTTTCTCTTTGCACTACTGTTTTTTTTTTCTCCATCCATTAAAGACATCGACAGGACACTGATATAACGCGCCGCGTGTATGTGGCAGTACTCAGTGCCTGGCAACTCACTTCGTTTGATTGATCGATTTATGAATTTCTAAATTATAATCAAACGATTATTGGAGATTTTCATACAAAGTCGATGGTAACCGAGGTGAGAATGTTTCTTTCTTGACGACCTCGCAAGATATAAGTCTGTAGATTTTGCAATTATTGTTGTTTTGGAAAAACTAACGAGCAAGAATGTTTCGGTGAATGAATGACCATGGGCGCCGCCATCTTTGTGTTTACACGTTGACTCATGGGAACTCTATCTGCGTCATACCACCTAAGCTTGCTTTTGAACATATGCCGGCTGTTACGAGTTTGCTTTTTTTTATTTCTGTTAGTTGAATATGACTAATTTTTTTTTTAATTTCCCGCAGCCAAGTAGTATTTAACTATATCGAAAACCGGTTCATCGTAAAAAGGATTTCTTTCTGTGCTCTGGTGCTGTTTGTGGTAATCGCTTACACGCGTAGAGCGAGTTCTTCTAATCTTTCCAGGGAGTTTGACACGAACTCAGATACAAAATGGCGTTGACCAATGACTCTAAGCTGTTCGAAGAGTTCTGTCGGATTGTTTTTCTGTGTGTTATTTGGTACGCCAGTAGCGCGGGACAGAATGTCATCGGAAAGCAAGTACTGGACTATTTTCCTTATCCGATGACTATCACAATGTCACACATGTTTTCATTAGCTCTTTATTTAGGACCAATTCTCAAAGCCTGGAACATTCCCACGGCTCAGCCGATAGAGCGAAAATACTACTGGAGTGTTATTGTTCCGTTAGCGTTTGGAAAATTTTATGCCTCTGTGTCGTCACATTTTAGTATATGGAAAATGTCTGTATCATATGCTCATACTGGTAAGTAAAAACTTGTTTATTCACTCTATTTTTCTGTAACGAAAGACAGTGACAGTGTGTATGTGTTGCGTTTGACATTCAACGCTGACACGTTTAACGGAAGTGACATTTGATTGGGTGTCTGGTATACGCTTTAAAGCGTATACATTACACTCGACGTAAACGTGGCAGACGAAAATCTAAGAATATTTAACTGTCTATTAAAGTCTTTTCTGACTTTTTTCTGTATTAATTATTGTGAGTATAATAAAAAAAATTACGATAAAAAAGGATTAGCTATTATCTGGTCTAGTCAATGTAAATACACAGGACTGGCAGGATAAGGGTATGCAGGTGATGTGATATGCGTTGACAATCTCTTGAGAATTGAAGAGTCGCGATATGCGAGATGATCACAAAATCGGACGACCCATATTTCTAAAAAAAATACTACTAATAAGTACTACAAATGATTGAAGAACTGGTTAGTGTTTATCGTGGACGGTTCAGCTAGTATCCCTGTATGTATACTATTATAGTCTTTATTGTGTTTGTATCCTTATTTTTGATTTTGATTATAAAATGCAATATAGATGTGAAGAAAGAGACAAACAAACAAAATAAGAAAAACAACAAAACTGACAAACTAAATAAAAGTAAAAATAAATGAAAACTAAAAAAAGAAGATTGTTTATAAAATTTGTGTTGGTGAAATATTTACCATAATGCATGGGCGGCTTTGGTTCAGAGTTTGGTAATGTTTTGAAAAAAAAAACAAATTTACGCTGAGAACATTTTGAGAGAAAAACCCATAAAGAGAAGTAAAAAGTACTTTGCATAATTTTTCGACCGCTCACTGAGTTTTAATCTGTTGCCTCTAATGTCCAATGTGTGACATCTTTGATTACCTTAAGACAACTTCCCTGTTTTTTTTAATGGCAGTATCATTCAGTCATTGGTAGTCTTCTACTATTACTTATGCAGTTTTCATTTCTGCCACTTGTCAGTTAAAATTCTAAAAAAAATTTACTATACACAAACACCAGAAATCAAAACTCATGGGTGTTGCCAAAGATCTTTATAACCGATTAATTCTTTCTTTGTTGTGCTCAAAATCTCCTGCAAACACCGTTTTTGTGTGTAAATCATTTTGTTTGTTCCACTGTATTTTTTTGTCAGAGGATTTAGTTAAAAATAGAAATATGCCACATATTGACTATCTATTTCAATGCAGTTAATATCTCAAGGCAATTTTAAATATTAAACATGGACGTGATTCTGCATCACAACAACAAAGTAATGCCTCTTATTTGTCAGCAACTTTCAAGGAACTTTGGTTAAAGATAGCTGTATGTATATGATAGTTCTGTTTTCTGACTTGTGGAATAAATTACATTCTCACAGGAGAATTGTGGTTACATTTCGTTTTCTGTGTATATATTTTGTCTGAAAGGACAGTATTTAAATTCTCCTTTTACTTTTAAACAAATTATAATAATAAAGATTAAAATTAAATATTTGTCTCTAGTCATTAATTATTTATAAAAAAAAATATGTAAATCTGAACAGTAGATATGATTTTAAATTGCTTTCATACTTTGATGTTATCTTGTATTCCTCAACACCTTGAATAGTTCAATACATTCAAAGTAGCATTCCAATACAATTGCTACGATGGACGAGCGCATGAATAGTGTACATACATGTAGCTTCATGTCATGTAGGAGAGATTAAAAAAAATCTATGTACATAATTTGATGTCATATGCTTTGTCTGTAAGCACTGTGAGAATGTTGTGTGGATCTTTCTGGGTTTGTATAATGTCTGATAACTCCAGATAATAGTAATAAAGAATCATTTTGGCAAGTTTGTTTTTTAAAATTTATTATTCAATTAAAAAATCAGTTGAAAATACATGTAATAAAATAAAAATTGGAGTAAATGTTGTGAATAAGCCAAATCTCCATACAGTGTATTATTGCATCAAAAATGATCATAACGGGGACACATAATAATGTATATGTATTCCCAGCAATTTTTTTCCGCTTTCAATAGGCAAGTTTCAAGTTTTGTTGTTACCTAAAAAAACTTGTGAGCTCCGGTGTTGTTATTTCCACCATAAAAACCTTACCATAATATAAAGCATTTCCACCATAAAAACCTTATCATAATATAAAGCATTTCCACCATAAAAACCTTACCATAATATAAAGCATTTCCACCATAAAAACCTTACCG